TGGTCCTGGCTCCATATCCATTCTGGGAAGCGTCAGTCCGGTTCCTTTCCACCGGCAAGTCAAGAATTGAAATACATGGTGAACACTCTCACACTTCCTTCCGTCTTCAAAGACTCTGTTCTAACTTAGTTTAAAACTTCATTCTCTCACTTCAGAAAACATTATATATATTTTTCCAAAGAAAAGACGAAAATGCGTCACATAATGCAAAAGACATACTCAAAACTTTTCTCATTTTGTTTAAATTTTAAAATTCCAATCTCCACTTTCGAAAAACAAACAAACAAACAAACAAACCAACAAAGAGAAAAGAACATGTAGATTGTTTTGAAAAGAAAAGACAAAGGCGTCACATAAACCAAACGAAGTACTGCAAATGCATGTATAGATACAAATAAAATACAAGAAGTAACAAAACACTGTGTCTGGACGAAAGCACAAAACAACAATAACAAAGTCGATTCTTGACACTGAAACCCGAAGAAACCAGCGCCAGACACAAGTGAATGTGCAAGGGCTCAAAAACTTCAGACTGTCGAAAATCTCAAAACTGTCTCACAGGTCTCCCCAAAATTTCTTAGTACTGTTAGTGCTCTCTGTCTCTGTCTCTCTCTCTCTCTCTCTCTCTCTCTCTCTCTCTCTCTCTCTCTCTCTCTCAGCTTTTCTCATAACTCCTGAAAACTCAACAGAGTGTCCTTTAAGTTCTAACTACTCTCACACTGCCTTATGAAACACAAGTACAAAATGTTTGAAAAAACTTCCGAAGCTAAGTACTCTAGACCCAAAAAAAAAAAAAGAGGTGCTCTAGACCGTCCTCACACAGGAGGCACAACATTGAAACTCTAAGAGAGACGTGAAAGAGAAAGTGCAAGCACTCCTCTTTCTCAGGTATACGAAAAGGCCACACAGCGGGCCCCAAAAGACCCGCTGTGTGTGTGCCCACCAGGCTTCGAACCCATAATCTGTTTATCAACAGTTAAAATTTGCACGCCATTCAGCCACACGGCCCCCTCTCTTTGTGTAGACGCACCACCAATCACACCTCTCGAACGTACAGCCTGCCTGAAAATCTCGTTCGCAATGCATGTTATGTCGCAGAAGAATTTTCGGGGCAGGTGCCGCTTTCCAAGCAAGAACGTGGTCAGTCTTACGGTCAGATTCATGCTCCTTCAGCAGCATGGACAAATAACTCCCGTAAACCCTCGCACCAATTCTCTCGACTCCTCAGACCTGCCCTGCAGGTCACAAAAAGCCCAGCAAATACCCTCCCAACTTCACACGAGCTTTTCCCAGGCCTGCACAACTGCCTGTCCTCGGAGCTTTT